TGGTCAGGAAATAGCGGCTGCCCGAGAGAGAAAGGGCCCTCGTGGGGCCCACCACATCCATGTGCACAAGCGCAAGTGGTGCCTTGGCTGGTCCCGTGCTACTGCTGAAGGGAAATTTCGTAAACTTAGTCTCAAGGCATGTAGGGCAGCTCCCAATCTCCTTTGCTGCCCCCTTCACCTCCAACCCCTTCAAGCTCCCATCCTTCACCAACTTCTGCAGCATCGGGATGTTGATGTGGCACAACCTCTCGTGCCACGTCTCCCAATCGGCCTCACCACTCCCGGATGAAGCCTTTGCCCATGCAGCTGTCGCATCCACACCAGCAAGCACCTCACCATGTGGTTGCTGTGGCTGCTGCACCTTCTTGACTGCATTCAAGGCCCCAGCAGTTGGTGCAGACTCCTCTCCTCCTGCAGCTGCCTTGGCCGCTACCGCTGCCTTTGCCGTTGCTGGTGGTTTCCCGTTCCAAGGGATGATGGGCAGCTGCCACAGGTCCTTGATGCAGCTGCTCTTCTCATCCAAATCCCACAGCAGCAACTTCCCAAGCTTTGCACGGCAGCTGGTTGGGCCGAAGGTCACTTTGGCCTTGCTCTTCTGCAGCCGGCGCACAGAAAGAAGGTTAGCGGATAAACCTTCAACCAACAGCACATTCCCAAGCCCCACAAGCTCCCCATTGGCTCCCATCACCTTGGCATTGCCCACACTAATCACGGGGAGCAAAGCACCTGAAGCGGCAGCCACAAACTTGATCTTCCCAGGGGGCTTTACCTCATCAAGCAAATCTGCCCGCGGAGTCATGTGACTCGTGCAACCTGAGTCTATTACCCAGTGAGTGAGGGGGTGCATCACAACCTTCCCAACTGAACCCACATCATCCTCACTCTCTTTCACATCCTCAACCATGAGGAACAACCCAGGGTCAGCTTTACCTTGTGCACCATCACCTTGTGCACCTGAACCTTGCACAGCGCCACCTCGTGCGCGTTCACCACTTGGCGGCTTCATGCCTGGAGGCGCCCATCCTTCAGGCCGGCTGAAACACTTGAACCATGGGTGTCCAGCCTTCTTGCAATACCAGCACGCACCCTCCATTCGGGTGCTCCCCCTGCCACCAGAGCTCCCATGCCCCTCGTTGTAGTCACCTCGGCCTCTTCCTCTGCCAAAGCCTCTCCCACGGCCTCGGCCTCTCCCTCCCCCTCTTCCTCTGCTGCCTCCTGCAGCTCCATACCCCTCAGCAGTCTTGTTGGCAGCACCACCTCCCGTGTGGCGCCTGCGGAAGTCCTCCTGCAGGATCTGCTGCCGTAGCCACTCAGGCGTCCACTTGTCCTGCTGGAACGTTGAGGGTGTGGATAAGGTTGTCCCACGAATTGTCAAGCACCGAGATAAACTTGGTGCACTGCTGCATCTCCGACACCTTGCTGCCCGCCGCTGCCATCCTCGCATAGGTGTCCTTGATCTTGTCAAGGACCGGCTTCACATCGTCTCCCGGCGGCATGGAGAGGGAAGCCAGCTCCTTCTCCACTACGATCACCAGCGGCAGCGTGTTGAGCTGAACCACGTCATGTAGCAGCTTCCACGCCTTCGGTCCGGAGTCATCAAGCTCCACCAAATCCTTGATGTGCTGGAACATGTCGTTGTTGACCGACTGTAGAATCAAGTCGTACAGCACCGCGCTCCGCTCAATCCATCGATCGCGGGCATCACCTTCCTCCGGCATCTTCTCTTCTCCCATCGCAAGTTTCAGCAGCTTGTAGCGCTTGAAGGCGCTCCGCGTCCGCCTGCTCCATTCCTCATAGTTGGAGCCATCCAACGCCTGAATTTTGGATGATGGCGGTTCACTCTTCTTCTCAGCTGCTTCTCCACTCCCTTGACTCATCTCCTCTGCTCCCAATCAGAGGTTTTAGCTCCCCCCTTGCTAGTCACAATGTAGATCCATTTTTTTTTTTTTTTAACAAAAGACGGCGCCAACGAAATTTCGGCAGAGTTTTCCCTTAGCGGAAGTCACATTCAACCTCCAGAACTCCACTTAGGCACGCCCACAGGCCATGGTGGGTCTAAGAGGGTCTTCACACTTCAGTAGACTCCCCACAAAGTCCTCAATCAGCTCTGATACCACTTGTTTTAGATTAAGGATCGAGTCTACAAAGATTAGGAGCTCAATTTTCAAAAAAATGTTGGCTTAGAATTCGGGACAGAATTGTCGACTTCACAAGAAACGTCATCAATGAAAATCTCGCGGAAACCAAGTATGTTGTAGCTCTGGAACGTGGCTACAAGTCCCAATTTGAATCACATGAAAAGGTGGAGTATTTCGCGAGATATTAATTTCGGCGCACTAGGGGGTATTCTGCCATAGAAAATTTTACTCCATCACAAGAGAGTTTCACAAGTTCCACAAGTTCTCACACAAGAAATGTTGAGTAGCTAGAAACCAGGTAGAAGGAAAGAGGAGGACGAGAGGGAAGGTCACAGGGGACTCCCCAACCAAGGAAACCCCATATCACACAATTCCTTCCCCCATAGGCAATTTTTTTGGTCGTGCTCCGATTGCAACAATTCTTGGCTCGTCGGAAAGCTCTTGAGAAGAGGATTTATTTCAAATATCTGCTCAAGCAATATGTCATTCACACACACTCAGAAAATCCAAACCACACCGAACACAAATTCTTGCACACGCTCACACCACACATGCAACGCACGAACATATGATGGGAGGCAGACAGACGTGAATGCATATGATTGCATCACATAACAGTAAGGATCTTCCTCATCAAACTCGATCAGAACTGAACAGTATGGGGCGGCACCGGCAGCTGCTGATGCACCCGAGACAGTTTCCTCCACCGCATCAG